TAATAGTTAATATTTATTTATAATTAATATTAGTCAGGGTTAAAATTGGAAAAAGTGTCAAAAAGATTATCATAAGCTACTCCAAATAGCTTATCAATAAACTAGATTATAAGGTACCTTATTTGCATTCAAATGATTACTTAAAAAAATAAGTTAACTTATGTTTACCAATTTATGAACACTTCTCTTGTGTTCAGAAAAATTCATTTTGCCAATTTATCAACTCAACTACATATTAGAGGGGGCGGATAGATGGAGTATTATTTGATAAAGTTAAGGTTAGTCAATTACAAGTTTGGTTCCTATGGTATGTTAGAAGGTGATTTTGTAGAAGTGAATAAACATTATCAGCTGGTTTGTATTTGTATTTGTATTTGTATTTGTATTTGTAATCGTAATTATAATTGTAGTCATAATATTTTGAGTGATGTGTTTATGCATTAAGGGATGGGCAAAACAAACATAAACCATCCTAAACGGAAAGACGCATGTAAATTCAAAAAGTTGTTTCTAGAAAACCCACAAAAGTTGGTCCCTATGGTACGTTCCCACTCAGTTATTTTGCTCAACTTCAATTATTATACCGATGGTCACTGTCGCTTGTAATTTGTTTTGATTTTGGTACTTGTGATTCACGGTCGTTAGAAAAATGATACAAGTGAGGGCCTTTTTGGTGTTTTCCAATTTTATTTCATTGTTTTTGTTAAAAATAAAAGTACTATAAATATATATACATAGAGTTGAGTTCCAATAAAAAAAAATAAAGTTATGTCTGAGAAACATAAGAAGAGATCTTCATCCTTGAATCAATCCTAATCGAATGTCAACACTAATGTGGTGCACCGGATCAATTTGCTTCTAAGCAGAGTTCATAAGTGAACATGAGATTAAAAGTACTCAAGGGTTCAGATCTTTTACAACGCTTCTCATACGATCATTGGCCTATACACATATACATATGTACATACATACACACAATGGCGATAAGATCACCGGCCCTGTCTTTATGGAAGCACCACCAGTGCACAACGGTTCCCAAGTCCAACTCGCCACCATCCCCTTTGTCACCCTTTTCCGCTTGATTCGAATACACACACCAAAGATCTCTCAGTATCTTTTAGTAGAAACTTTGCTCCTTCTAAGATCTGTCTCGTAACTGAAACTATAGATTGATGCAGCGT